TTCTTGGGATATTTTAATGAAAGATGCTACATTCAAGCTGCTGTTAGGATCCAGAGATACCGTGAAAGCACAGGGCTCCACCTGACATAAAAGCCAGGATCCACTTTAGATGAACGAAAGTGATCAGGAGTCTTGAGAATCAAGGGCTGGCTCTGTACACTGAGCAAAGGATGAGAAGGTGAGAGGCCTGATAGTCACATGGCAGGAGTTAACTCAAAGATATTAAGACAAGATATATCGATAGCCTCTTCCACACAAGCACACAAGCTGCTGATCAAGAAAAGCTGGCTTTTGAAAAAAGCCCTTGGTACAAGGGCTTTGTCCTGGTTTGGCTGGGATAGAATCATAGGCCAGCCATGCTAGGCAGTCTGTTAGCAGATTTGAGTCAGAATGATGCAGAAGTAAAACTAAATCTGCTTTAAGGAAAGAATCCTAAGACATATACACATACAGGCTTCCTGAATGCCACTCTTCATAGTGTTAAATTTGCCAGAGGTATTTCATCTCCTCAATTCATCAAAGCCCATTTGATATTCAGTCATCCATGTAATTTCCCATCTCTTTGGCTGGATACAGTCACTGGCCACAGCTGCAACACTTTGAGCACAGTTGGCTACCAACCAGCTGGTGTTGCCATTTGCCAAAGACTGTCATGCTTGCTACATTGCTGATAGCTCTTTTCAGAGACAAGATTGATGGCCTCAGATGTCATTAACTAGTTGCTCCTGCATCTGTTTTGCACTCTGCCTTTACAGGTATTTTGAATAGGCCAGGTAAAAGCATACAAATGAAGAACTAAAGGGATGCATGAAAACACCGAAACCTTTACTTGATATGAAACCATCACTTTAGAATTCTCATGTATCTTCTGCTTACATCGTATTTGACCAACAGGAGACACATTCACTATGTTTGACAAAAAGCCTCCACAAATAAACAATGTGGAGAGCAGATAACTTGTGAAATGCATAAATACAAAGATAACCCTTCAGGATCTTCCTATAGAGTAAAACCATACACTGAAATAAATTGAGTAATCATATCTGCGTATTTGTATCACTGCCCTCAACTGAACTGTAAGTAGAAAACCTTTCTAACACGCATTCATTTTGAATTATATTAGTGCTAAAAATTACTCCAAAATTACTTGAAATGCTACTAATTAGAGGTTTGCCCTTCACTGAGAAGAAAGAATTCAGCGCTTTTGAAGTGGCAGATCTGAATTCCATAATCATCAAAGTCACCAGCCCTGTCCATAAAGATGGTGTAACAGCTGCATGCCAGCTCAAGTGGCCAATGGCAATTATGGGTGGCTCTGTTTGCAAGATTTGTGATATTTTAGTGGTGTTGCAGTGACAACATGCAAATCAAATAGTAGCGTTTTACAACTGCCAATTATTTCTACATTTTTAAGCAGGTTGGTAGTCTGTCCTCAATTACTGTGAAATGAAGCAGGGGAACCAAGTAACCTAATGAAAAAAAAAAAAATAAAGCAAAGTCACAACATTCTGGTCATAAAAACATGATTTTTTGACTATGCAAAATGTTTTGGGATTCTGCAAGATGAAAAGGTCTTTTGATTTTTATGAAGCTGTGAAGAATAAGTTTACACTGACTACAGAAAGTGGAATCTGAGGTCCTCAGAAATTCTGTATTTAAGTGTTAGGTGGAATTGTCCCATATTGCACACTGAGAAATCTTCCTCAGACTCATACATAGTGGGTTTTTTTCAGTTGTCAAGAGCAGTTAAACTTTTTAAAAGGTACTTTAGTCTCCCACGGGAAATATCAGGAATGCAGAGTTCACATTTCTAAATGTAATCTGCAAACAGGTATGACAATAATTGGTACTGTGTGTGCACACAAAAAATAATTTGGGGCGCCCGAATGAGGGTGGTACATCAGCTGAAGAAGAAAATGGCATCTACCATCTAACCACTGTCTCAAAAGCATGAGCCTCAAATGCACCCCCTGATGGAAAACTGCATGGAAATGTGTATTTGTCAAGCGTGATGCAGGGCCTAGGGCAACTTCCACAGTCCCGCTATCACTGCACCCAATGTTTCATGGCCTACTGTGTTTATGGCCTACTGTTCATAAAACATGAGTGGCACAGAGTAGTACTATAGACTTTGGCAAATGGGAAACTAAGACCTAGATTTCCGAGGGACAGCTGCCTCTGAAGTCAATGGGAATTAAGTACCTAGAGACCACAGGAGGTGTTGGGGTTTGTATTGGTTTTGTATATATTTAATTAGTGAATTTTATAAATATTTATATTCATATATCACACAATATAAACTATATATTGTAAATAATATAATGATATAATAAATAAAATAATTCTATTATATTGTTTTCTTATTTTTTCTTTATTGTTTCATTAATTGTTTTAGTTTTATTTTCCAAACCATAAGTCTCTCTCCCTTCTCCTTCTGGGAGGGGAGACGGGTTAATAGAGAGAATCTGTCATTCCTGTTAGTGACCCACCTAGCCTCAACCCATGACAATGTCAGGAGATGTAGTCTGAATTCCCTCTTCAGCCACTTTTCTCTTCCCCCTACTCCATCAGCTGTCCTTAGCCTTGCTTGTTCTGGCTAACGAAAGTTAGCATGCACCACCCACATGATTTACATGGCTTCTCCCTTTCAAACCCCGGTTGGATGAGCGGAACATCAGGACCACAGAGTGTCCCTTGCCTCTGTTCTGGTACCTGTCATGAGAATATGGTGGATTCAGGGCTGTATCACCACGTCCATGGCGTAGGACCACAAGCATACATGCCGACTTTAGGAGGCTCCAATAGGAGGGGACTACAGCACACTTCATTCTCTTGGTAAATCTGTGCCTACAGCGTGCATGGTGGGTTTTCTGCCCTTCTGTGGTATTTCACTCAGTTTCACCAACTTTTGATTTTGAGGATGAGTTAGGTTTTCCCTCCCCTGGGTACTGAAAGAAGGGCTTTTGCAGAATAGAAACATTAATTTCTGTTAACTCCTTTCACCTGATCTATTCTGACTGCAAGTTTCCCAGGACATAAACTTGAAATTGTGTCTCTGGAGAGGTTCACCACAAGTCTCAGGTTTGGAAAGCAGCTTCCACATGTGATATGACACCATGAAAAAAAGGAACCTATATAATTAAGTGCTTCCTTAAGAAATCTTATTCTGTTGCAGTGTTTGTGCAAACTATTTCCATTTTATTCCTGCATACTTTGAAGGTTCTCTTCCAAATTGGAAAAAAACATCCAGAACTATAACGCCTTTGGGTGTGCACCTGCAAACACACAAACTCACATACGTGCCTTTGAATAGCTTGTTGTTTGCTCATGATCACAAAACAGATTTCTGTTCCTACCAAAAAAGAACACTATAGATCATAAAGTAACTAAGAAGCAACTTAAACTGTCATCAGCAAAAACATCTGCTCCCAGTACTCACCCCTGTGACTTCAGGCACAGGAGAAAGCTCTTGAATGGGCACTGAAACACTTTGGGAAAGGGAAAGTGAAGGATCAAAGGCCAAATGGGTGTCAAAACAGGAACAGTGTATCAGAATATGCTTCATTGCTGAGGGCAGATACACATTTTGGGGCTGTCCTTAGGCAGTTCCCACTGAAAACAATGTCATTTTCTACCGCAGTAACTAGGAAGAGGAACGCAGTATCTGCAGACCAGTAAGAAAAACATTTTGATGATCCTGATGGGAGCAGGAGAAACATTTCTCCACAAGAAACAGCTGGCTGCAAATGGCAAAGTTTCTCTATCTTCAAAGGTTATGCAGGATGCCAGAGAAGTTGCTGGAGTCCCACTGAAAATGACATTTCTTCTTGTCCATAAAAAGGGTCATGAGACCACTGTCAGGGCTTCCTTTTTCCACAGGCACAGAGACTCCGTTTTTACAGGATGGAAGAAGAAAGGGACAAAGAGAGGGAGTAATTGGCAAAATACAGTAAGCTGCTGAGTGCCTGAGGGGAGCTGGGTCAGATGTAAATTTGAAAGTTTATGGACTGGCTTCCTTGCCAATTTGTGATGGAGGAAAGAAGAAGGGGGATGAAGGAGAAAAGGGAAGAAAGGTTTTGCAGAGCAGTAAATCTCCATCTTTTTTGTTTATTACATGGTGAAAATTGCAGAGGAAAGTCATTTGTCAAAAAAAGATGATGGCTAAGAATGCTGAGCAAGGGAAAGCTTAAGAATATGGGTCACCTAGTGGTTTGAGGCCCACAGCTTGTTAACTTATCACTGCGAGAGGCAATTGCAACAGCCAATAACAGGTCAGGTAAATGAAAAGGCTACTAGAAAACAAGAATACAGGAAGGAGAAGATACTGTTGATACATGCACTAATGGGAAGACTTCACTCATTCACAAATTGAGGGACAAATCCAAAGAGAAATGCTAAAACCCTTGTGCCTTCCAGTGGAAGGCATCCAGTAAGGCCGAGGATTTCACCATAGCACCGAGGCTGATATTTGTGAGCTGGTGACACTGCCTACCCCAGTGCACATATAGCCCATACCAATGTGGGGTATGTCTGCTTGAGCCACGGACATGCTGTATGAAGAGGCAGAAGTACAGTGATGGGCTAGTTATCCTTGCCCCTGAAGTGTGACGTAATAAGCTGAGAGATATTTCAGGATGTTGCCCAGCACAGTATTTCATCTTTTACACACAACCGTGCTAGACTCATCTGGTGGGCAGGACCTTTTGGGTCTGCAGGAAGGTATAGTCCTCCAGTTGTCATAACCTGCTTCAGCCTTGCACAGAGAAAACAATCCATAGTGGCTGAACCCAACTGCCAGCATCATGAAGAGGGCAGGCAGATAATCCAACTCCATCCCTGTGCCTTAAAGTAATGAAGTTCTGATTTGCCCAGGTCTACCGTCCAGCTCTGTCCTCCAGTGCTTTCTACACTCTTGACAGCCTCATAAACTTTGCCTTGTGAGGATATTCAAGCTCATGTTGGCAGGCATCATCCCCTAAATCCTTTCTGCTTTCTTCCTACTTCCATGAAGTAGAACATAACTTCTAAGGGAGAGACAAGACATCACACAAATTTATGCCAATTTAACATTACTGAGGGAACCCAAATGGGAGTCGCAATTCCTAAATATAGCTCCAAAGCATGTTTCCAGTGTTTGGGAAAAAAACCCAAAAAAAACAACCATCACAAAAAAACCCCCGCAAACAACCAAAAACCCCCAAGGAGGTTGTAGCATGTACCACAGTCATAGTTTAGACCCCAGTGAATCAGATGCATTTCTACCATAATTATTCTTTCTAATGTGTCTTTGAAATCCCAATTATATATATATACACACACACACACTCACACACACACAAATGCATAAACATACAATTCTCCAAGTAATGGACACAATACCTGCTCTAGGTCTGCTGCTGTTCTTTTATTTTCTCCTGTGGCATCTTGATATGGTAAAATGAAGAGTTCAGCAGATGTGGGCAGACCAGGGAGCACAGCGACCAGAATATGCTTGCTTGAAATACCCATTGCCTGATATGTAGACAAATAATAGACAGATAAACAGTTGGGATGGCACTGAATGCTGATAGCTTCTTTGCTAAGGCATTCCAGTACTTGTACAAATGATGTAGGGTATATCTAGTACAGGGGAGAATCTTGATAAAATCCAGTGCAGGTAAAAAGGCAGGGATTAGCAATTTCCTGTTCTAAGCTATTTTACCATGTTCTCCAGTAAAATATGCAGGCAACAGTGATAATCAGACATGCTAAAAGGAGCTCCTAAATAACAGCTGCATATGGTACGATTTTGCTTTCTCTAAATTTAGATTTTTTAAAGTTATCTGACTATCCCAAGTTAATCCCTGAGGTTCTTCATCTCGTCAATGGTAAGAAGCCACATGTTAAAGGGCAAGGCATGTAGGCAGAATTGCACTCTAGAGGTGTGATTAGCCAAAACGCCTTAAAAGCCTTGTGGAGACTCAGATAGAGAGAAGATGATAAATCAAGTCTGAATCCCAAAAGACAAACAAATTCTTATAAGTTCAAATCCCAAGTCAATTCCACAAGTTAATGAGGACCACATTTTATTAATTATTTAAGTGTTAAAGATCGTATTAATCTGCAAATTTGTACTTTTTTGTCTTGTTGGCTGAAAATCATAAGCAACCAGTCAGAACTCAAATCTCCCTTAAACACAAATTAGCCAAAATTCAGAAAAAAAATATGCCACAGGCATCACCACCAGGGTCCTGGGTCATCTCTGGTCATGGGTTTCAGCTGCTGTTATCTTTACATTACACAATCAGATTGCAGGGTTATTCTCCAGAAAAGGAGCTAGTTTGGCCTTCAGGAAGTTTTGTGAGCCAAAATGAGAAACATAGTTTGCTGAATCTTCCTCCATTGCCTCTCTGTGTTGTGGATTATCCAGCAAATGCATTTAAATCTCAAGGTTTCAATTTAAACCTTAAGTTTCCAAGTGCTGAATTTAGTGGGTCACTTTTAAAGGCAAAACAAAAGTGCCCTCATATGTAAGCACAGACCACAGCAGCTGGATGGACTCATGAATTCCTCTCCCTAGTAGTTCAAAAGCAAAGATGTGGAGCATCTGCTCATTGAAGGAGATGATGGATGGAGGACAAGGAGTCAGCAAAACTGAATACAAATCACCATTACCTAAGCTAATTCTGTGGCTACCCCATACGTGACTGCTGACAATCCAGGGAATATCCTGTGGCGCTATGAAAGGGGAACCCTTCCCCTCCACTGCACACCAAGGAAAAGCATGTGGTTTTGCTGCTGTTGGGTTTTTTTTAAATGTGGATTTAGAAAAAAACCCCTATAACAGTATAAAGGTCTCATACATCATTTCCAAGTATTCTGTGAAGCCAGGGCTTGCATTATTTGTGCTTGCCTAACAGATTATTCTAAGACGTCAAGAAAAAGACACAATATGCCTTTCCAGTTAATGGAAAGTCTTCATTTTCAGAGGCTGGGAATGATTTTTTTTTTTTGTCTGGAAGCTTTTGGCTGATCTACTCAGTTCATTCTTGTCTTCTTCATCAAAAGTGGGAGACAAGACTCAGAAAATGAATGATGTGAGTGAATAATTACGATAATAATACAAAATAGGATATTTTGTGATAATATGAAATTATTCCTACTTAGACAGAAGATCAGATTTTGGTAGAGAACTATAATTTCTTATGCAGAATTTTTTATCCAAGTCTATGGTACTCTGTAATAAGAATATAATACTTTAATAAAAGTTCATAAAAATTCTATAGCACAGCTATAATTTCCTATTGAATTATTTAGTTATTCAACACATTTTTATACAGTTTACTTAATTGCTGTAGAAATCTATTGGGTTTATCTTTAATTTTTACAGGAACTACTTACAAAGGCTTGTTTAAGGTGAATCATTTACCTATATAAAGAGGGATAATCAGCTATCAATTTTTTTTTTTTTTTTTTTTGTCAAAAACCAAAAAGACTCTCTGTGTTTTCACTGCTTTGCTTTTGGAATGTAGCCTTGGTACTGTAGTTTAACAAGCCCTTTTTTATGGCTTGATTTTGTTTTATTGAATTGTTTATATTCTGAAAATTCATCCTGAAAATAAATGGATCCTTGAATACTTGATACAGGCATAAATAAGTCAGAAGAACAAGCTCTAGAAAAAATGTACTTTTTTTTTTTTTTCCTCCTCTTCTTCTGTCTTTTGAGGAAATTGAAGAAAAAGTCTGAGAAACAATCCAGGCAAGTTTGTGTGCACCTGATTAGTGCACAGTGTCTTAACAGTCTTTTTGCACAGATGATTCCATGCATGAACATACAAGCTTGTTAAAAACAGCTACAAGCCTCGTATCCTTTCAAAATCTGAGTATCTTTATTTTAAAAAAAAAGGAGAATCCCTGTTTCAAACAGTTCCTTTCACTATTTTTCTGCTGTGCTGAGAAACCCCAGCTGTCTCTTCTAACATTTCTTAGTCTCTCGGTTTGAAATCCAAATCTTCAGCCACACAAGAATATTTTTATGACATTCTGTTCCTCATCTAAAGGAGGAACTTTAGAGCTTCTCCATAGTTTTGACTGGAAAAATAGCATCCAATCCTGACCTGTGAACCTCATGCTATGTGAAAGACATAAAGCACTTACTGTGGTGTTCTTCTCTGCAGAAAAACTGTTTTCAATTTAGTCTCCTAAGTTTCCTATAGCATATTTGTAATTCCATTAGAATATCACTACATTACACTGCTGTATAAGACCAACAGTAACAGAAATAAGAATTGCTATGCAGCAGTAAAGACATTTGTACAGCTATAGACAGGTATAAGTCATTATATTCTATATGGCCTTTTCTCAGAAATATTACACATAATTCACTGTCATTAAAAAGTATAAACTGAAGGCTCACTCTGAGCACCAGATTGTCTCAGGATGGGATAATTTCACCTGTCTAAAATTTAGGATTCTGGCCTCAAACACTAGCCTAGTCTCCTTTTATAGTTGGTAGAAACAGAGAAACACTTTGAGAGAACAGATAATCCAGTCCGAATGTAGGCATAAAGCAGAAATTAGAACCATTGTAACACAGGTTATGCGCTCTGCTTACCTCCACCAGAGCTCTCTTGACTACTCTACTGATGTCCCTTCTCCACTCTGGGATATCTGGATTGTAGTCATCCAGGTTTGGAGAGAATGATAACCGCAGGGACTGAAATTGCTCTGCAGATACAATGATACGGTGGTGAGTAAAGACTGAAAAGTGCCAAACAAGCGGGCAGAACTTAACTGAAACCTGCCGCAGCTCATGTGTTGCTTAATCAGTCTGCAGGTGATGCACAGACTGTCAGAGAATCCAGCAGTGCGTCTGAGAGATTCACTGAGAGACTTGGAGAATCTGAGAGATTCACTGCTCGAGTGTCACAGAACCGACAAAGGTGACCAGTCCTTACTTCAATGGGTGAATAGCACTGGAAAGGGAGCTGTGTTGGGAATGTAAATGAAATGCTACCTTCATCTTAACTTCTGAAGCAGGCAAGCCCTGTGAAAGAAGCTGTAATTGTACTCTCATAGACATGCCCCAAACACTTGAAATCTTAACTAGTAGGGGACAGGGATAAAGGTGGGGAGAGGACTAGCTTTGGAAAACGTACTTCTTAATCTCTGTTGCTGTTAACAGAGATGCCCACACTGATCACTATGAAATTGTGCTTAGTATAAATAGCTAAAACTGGGATTCCCAGTGGTTGAGCCTTCATCTACACTATATGACATTTGTGTGCCCTAACTGCTTCTGAGGCTGGAGTACAATATCAAATCAGTACAGATTTCTGTACAGAACTGCAGCACACAGCATTGACTTACCTTTCAAGCTAAGCAGCTTTTGCATGAGTTAAGAGGCCTCTACTGGCCAAGAAGGGGGAAAACCAGCATGCAGAACAACCTAACATTTTGACAATCATGTAGGATAACCAAATAGTGATAGAGCAGATGCAGGGGCCTCCAGGGAGGAGATCAATGTTCTGCAATCATCTCAGTCTGGACTAATGTCAGTCAGTGGCCTTCAAAGACGTTATGTGAACTGATAACATTGGAACTGAGCTTATAATCCCATTCAAAGCATCCTGGAATAAAGATCTCATGTTGCTGCCAGCTAACCTCGCTCTCTAGCTCTTGACTATGGAGAATCCTATGTGAAATGAAGGGGGAAGAGCTCACCATACACAGCA